TGGATGTGCTGTGAAGGCCTACACTTAGATGCCACATAAGCGTGAATCAATCATTCAATAATAGTTTTACGCACACAGGTGTGGCATGGTGGTGCAGTGGTTAACACTGTTGCCTCACAGCAAAAATATTACAGCCAAAATATTGGACTTTGGAAGCAGCAGGTTTAAATACCTCCCACTAGGCCTGGACTGCACCAAGTGCCCATTACATGAAAGGGGGGAGTTTGGGAGAAATTTATTGTTTATTTGTTGGTAGTTTATGTTAGAACTTTATTTGTCAAGTTATGTTAATTTCTTTATATTTAAAGGAAATATTTAGTTGAGAACGCATATCTCTGAGCTTGTGCATTTATATGCTCCAGAGAAGACATTTAGGACTTCCAATCAGTTATTCTTGGATGTACCTAAATCCAGACTAAAACATTGGGGAGACTGAGCTTTTGCGGTACAGGCTCCTATACTGTGGAATAGTCTGCCTTGTGATATTAGATGTGCTCCTAACCTGATGACTTTTCATTCACTCCTTAAAATTCATTCGTATTCCCACGCCTTTAGCAACATCTCTGACTGATGTATTTGTTTTTGATTGTGCATTTTTGCTGTTTCATTGTGTATGTGTGATTTATTTGGTTTTATTCTTTTCTGTTTTACTCTTTTAAAGCACCTTGTAACTTAGGTTTAGAAAGGTGCTATATAAATAAATTTTGCTTGCTTGCTACAAGCAATGGGTCATTGTTGCTTGATGTAATATTAATTGCCTTTTAGATCAGACATGGTAGGTAAGCCATTCCCAAACATCATGGCAAGTAGCAGCACTTACTTACTGATAATAGCCTGTTTCTTTCTTTGAATATGGTGTATTCTGAGTACAGAGGGAGAGAAGGAGAGGAGGAGAGAGAGGGCATGAGGATGTTGACAAGGCAGATACAGCAGGTGACATGGAGGTGAGTAATAAAAGGAGCCAGAATAATGATATCATAGCAGCTTAATCCTAATATACAATATCCCCAGCATTGCTGTTGGGGGCTGATTTGGTCCCCCCTCAATGCAAACTCCATGGCTACAGACAGGTATTGAGAGTTATTATGAAGAACTGACAAACCAATAATGCCATGCTAAAAACATGACTGGGTGTGTTGGACCAAAAGTTAATGTTGTATCCCAGGTGTTATAAGACCAAGTTCTTTTTAAAATTTAGTATAACACAGTGCACATTACGTACATGCGCCCCAGTCCACAGGTCAAACAGAGGAAAACAATGAAACACAGACTTGATGCCATCTGTGTGAAATATGTTAGATCAGCAAACGCACCATGAAGACATATTTGAATTGTGTAAATATGAGTCTCATTTGAAATGACTTCGACCTGAAATGACTTTAACAGTTTTAGCTGTACAATATAACTGTGTGTGTTGTTTTGGATAATACTAAATCCCCATTTGTTTACAAAAATATACAGTATCACTGTGAAATGCCCAAATGATGGGATTATTTTATTTAGGACATTTTTTTGTCTCAGATAAATAAACTCAACTGAGTGGCATGTTTTGGTCACATTTGTATCACATGTGCAGAACATTTTAGAAAGTAGTTTGAACTATTTTTTTTTCTAAGTAACTTTTGTTTACCAAACTACATTTCTGTCTAGAGTAGCTTTGCCATAGTTTAACTTCTTCCACCCTGAAGTAATTGATAATTTGCACAGCTACCTTTTTCCCCAACACTGACAGTGAGACTGATGCTGGTTTCAACAAACAGACATATTATTTGTTCACTTGGATATTCTCTTTGCTTATGTAAGATATGTCTCTATTAGACCTTGCTGGCTCAATTGCAGGTGCTACATCTCCAAAATGAGTAAGCAGACAAATTATAATGTATAAACAAGATATTAAGATATTTGCTTGATTGGTGCCAATATGAAAGTGTAGTGTATGGGCAAAAAATAAAATTAATAAATAAATAAAACATTAAATTAAATCACAATGTGAGAAATGGAAAAACAGAGAGAGTGGAAGAGGCACATGTGCAGACATATTTCCAAAGAATATGGTGAAGCTACAGTGAATTGCCCTGCTGTGTGAAACAGAACTACTTGTTTATCTTGATGATACTGCTTATGTTGTGTTTATTCACATTCTAAAATAAGGAGACACAAGCTTGTACAATGAATAAATCATCTATTGATGGAACAAATTGCTTCACTCTGCCTACTGCCTTTGGGAGGTCCTGCCTGCCTGACTCATCTGAGTGCTCCCGGCACCACTGCTACACTTTTGGTCTCTGTACTCTTGTCAGTTAATAAAGACTTTCTAAGTTTCTGCCTAATCCTGGTCTGCATTTTGGGTCCTAAACCAGTATGCATCATAAAAAAAGATCTATGGCATTAGGCACAAAGGTGTGAAATATAAGGCTGTGTGAGATTCATTTAATAATTTATATATTTTTAATGTTATATTCTTTCACATCAAAAAGTAGAAGCTAAACAAATGATAAGACAAATTGCTTGTAAGATACTGTTTATTGACTTTATTTTAAAATCAGAATTTTTGATTGATCAGCAATGGTGTCATCACGGATGTGTATCCAGTTGGAAGTGACATCATCAGTGGGACTGTGACGGCCTCACTGTGGAGATCCTCACAGGTCCTTGCCGCAAACATAAGAATTCTTGTTGGTGCAAGGTATGTTACTGACATGACCTAGAATTTAAAAGTTAGAGTTAGTGCTGTAACTAGTGACTCTTTTTATATTTCATTATTTTTTTATATGGCCAATGTCATATCAAAAAATAATGAAAAATGCCCACTGCACTCTCCCAAAGCTGACATTTTCAAACCACCCTTTTTTGCCCAAAGGTTTTCAATTTACTCTTCTCGAAGCCAACAAACTCCAGAAAATACTGATATTTTACAGGCTGAAACCACTGATGGATTTTGCCATTTGTTCTTAAAACATTAAAGCAAAATTAAAATCACAACAGATAATCATTTTACCTAGATAGTTCAGCACCAAACAATGTTCAACTCCATGACCTTTGCTGGGCTGCCTTGGTTCCCACAACTTGTTTTCAAACTTGGAGCCATCAGTCCACAGCCACACAGCTTCCTGAAAGGGAAAGACTTAAAGATAAGTTGACTCGTTTTTTTTATTTTTTCTATTTTACCACCAGTAAGACTACTGCCACAGTGGGTTTGTTTTTGTGGTGCAAAGCAGTGAAATGAATGTCCTGGTTAACACTTTAGTTGTCCAAATTACAGCTCTCACTACCAAATCAATTGCAGAATGCAGTACGTTTAATATCAAATGCTCAAAGTTTATTAAGTCACTCACCTTGACTGCATTGGTGCCTCCAACCCAAGTTTGTTTATCTGAGCCAGCTGAGGTTTTAATCAAACCTTTCACAAAGTCATAGTGGTCTTTGGTGTGGATGGAGGCTAGATTCCCACCAGCAGCAATGCAGGCAACCTGATGGCGCAAAGTATTAAGCCAAGACAGAAACAAGAAGTAAGGAAAAAATGATGGAGATGGAGTATGTTGGATGAAGACATAGAAGTGAGAGAAGTTGAAAAACATGGCAAACCAAAGTGATAATTTGACAGAGAAAGACCACTCAGTTAATGAACTCCATATCTGGACCTATACTAAATGAATATTGTAATAAGCTGTTTTAAAGCATATACCTTAAAAACAAAGTTGGAGTTAAAACTGATATTGTTCCACCCAGTACTGTACCTCTGCATCAGCCCAGTCCAGTTCACTGAAGTTGAACTTGTAACAGTAGTCACCAAACCAAGTCCATCCCTCAGGGCATGTCTTACAGCAGTCATATACACAACAGTCTGCTGTGACAGGAGAAAAAGATTCTTGTTACTCATGTTTGTTCCTGAATCAGCTCAAGCTACCATGAGGAGTTTTCTAGACCTACAGCTTTTTTATATTGACTGAACTAAAACAAGATGAAGACTGTTATACGGCTAAATGTGCTACAAATCAGCTGAACCTTTTGTCAGCCCAGTACTGATGGTAAATGATGTATTGACATGATTCTGTCTATGAACATATCAGTTCTGTTTGTGGACAAACTATTAAACAGAAGCTGACAGTGGTACTACATTCTGAGCCACCACAGTTCCAGGAGGTACCAACCATCAGATGGTTTTGCTTCTCCCTGTGAACAAAGACAAAATATTAGCACTAAACTCAACCTCAACTTGAGTTCAGTGTTTATTCTTCACTATCTTACAGTATATTGTGAAGAAAGGACAAGTTGTTGTTCATAGTGACACATTATGATTTATATTTGACCTATAATGGCACGTTAGAAACATGCTGGGCTTGGCCAGCTCTAACAGCTCTAAGGGCTGGTGTTATAACCAAGGTGTCATAAAATTCAGTATAACACAATGCACATACTTACAATTTCCCCAATCCACAGTCCACAGCTCAGACAGAGGAGCACAATGAAATGCAGCCCTGATGCCATCTGTGTAAAGATATATTATAGAAACAAATGCATCATGAAGAAATAGTTGAATTGCCTAAATGTGAATCTCAGTTGAAAAACCTGGAATGACTTTAATGGTTTTTACAGTGCTAATTTTGGATTTCAGTTTTTTTTTTACATTGATAAATTATTGTAAAGAACTAAAGGATTTGCTTTAAACATGCACATTCAGTGTAATAATGAACAGATCAAGATTTTCTGTGAATATGCATCAAAACAGCTGTTGTTTGATATAATAAAACCTTACCTTGCTGTGATGATCAGATGTGGTTTCACCTAAAGCTGAGGCCACTAGAGTAGCAGGATGTGTTGTGAAGGGAAACACAGTCGTTTTATTCTCTCTTCTGGTGCTTTAACTCATGCACGTCTTTTTCTGATCACAAGATACTGTTTAGTTATTAAAATTATTTCAGAGTTTTATGTTGACACAGACCTAGAAAGACCAGAAATACTTCAAATAAATAAAACAAATATCATCATTGCTTTTGGAAATTTGAAAAACAAACAAAACAGTCCCAAAACAGAGCTCGATAACAACAGGGATCATTTGTATTCTGTTCATTCTTTTCTGCTTGTTTATTAGTGACCAAGGTTTTCATAGTCTATGTGGGCTTAATGTGTTGAATCAGATGTGTTAGTAATGCAGTTTAGTAAGATTTAAAGTCTGCTCTATTCTGTTTTTTTTTTTAAGGTTAGCAGACAGAATGTTGATTCTGAAAAGTGAACCATAGGTACTTATGACACCAATTCTTTTCCTGTATTAATCTTGCATTAGAATATTATGTCTGAACAAATGAATGAATGCCTTAGCTACACACCACGTGACAACATACACACACATTGAAATTCTTCATTTAGTTATGACTAGGTAAAAATGCAGCTGCTCAAAGCATGTGGAGCACTAGATAAGAGATGGAGTCTCCGGATAGACTTCGTTTGGGGATTGTTTTGTAATCTTCCTGGGTAAGGGGTTTGCCTAAACCTTATAAATGTATTAGGTTCTGTGTGGCCAGGGGAACTCCTCTTTCCAGCAGCCCGTGTGTGTGTGTGTGTCTGGAAAAGGGAGCCACCCAGTTCGTGTTTGTAATTTTGCTTTGGGTTAAAATAAACCAGCACTAGATGAAGAAAGATGGACTCCTTCGTGGGCATGTTTGGGCAGAGATCTCAAAACAGAGTTGTAAATAGATGACAAGTTGTGTCTTAGTCCACCACCCCTATTTAGTGAGGGGTGTTCTATTTGGACTAAAATAGCTTCCTTGACTCCTCTCTCAAACCAGCGATGTTCTCTGGAGAGGATCTGGACTTCACTGTCCTTGAAAGAATGTCATTTGTCCTTCAGGTGGAGGTGGACTGCTCTATTGGGGTTGGCCCTCCTGTGTTGGGCCATGGATTTGTGCAGCAGCTGCTTAGTTTCACCAATGTACAAGTCGTTACCTGACTACACTTAATTGCATACACCACATCACTCTGTTTATGTCTGGGTGTTTTGTCCTTCGGGTGGACCAGTCTTTGCAGCAGGGTGTTCCCTGGCTTAAAGTTGACTGGGAGAG